TTCTCTGGGGGCTACCGAGGGACCAGCAGTGATGAGAGGTCACCGTATCTATGACCAGCCAGCTGGGTGAGTCAGGCCAGATTCCATCCAGCTCCGGGGGTGCCCTCAAGGTTATAGGCACCTCTTCAACAAGAACCACAGAGAAGGGAGTTGGTGGTGGGGGAGAGGGTGTCCTGGCAGATGTGACCTTGGATCTGGGCCCTGGATGAGCTGGATCTTAACAAGTAGAGATGGACACCTCAGGAAGAGGACGCGGCTGTAGCCAAGGCTTGGAGACCTGCAGGCTGTGATGTGAGATTCACAGGGGCTCAGACTAGTCAAGCCAGTGGTTTCCAATCACCTGGGCTGTGTGTTAATAGATCCCTGGGTCTCACCTTTAGAGAGGGTGCTTGTGCAAATGCTAGAAGAAATCCGGGCTCAATTTGGGTGGCAATGAGGAGCCACTAAGCTTTCCTGGGCAGCCATACCAATGAGCTAATTAAAGTAACACTCTTAGACCCGTGTCTGGCACGTAGTAAGCACTCAATATATGTTACTACCCAGATTATTGTTGTTGTTAGTAGTAGTATTACTGACCCAGTGGCCTGGGCCAGTGGATTTTGAAGAGCTTCTGGGTGACTTGAGCCCTAGGCAGAGGTGACAATCACTGGGCCAGGGATTTAGGTCCTTGAGTCTGGACACTGTCTATGGTCTCTGAAGCCCAGCCCAGGACTTGGTAGGAGATGGGTAAATGCTTGTGAGATCAGGCTGCAGGAAGGAGGCTGGATGGGCTGGGAAAGGCTGGAGGCAGGGAGCCTGGGGAGGAGGCAGGGTGATGGAGAGAGAATTGTCAGGGCCTGTTCATGGGCCTGTGGGGGAGCGGACGGGGTGTCATGGCCACTTCCTAAGTGTCTGGCCTGGGTAGTGCCATGGTACCACTCAGGGAATGGGGACCAGGTGGTGGAGCCATGGAATTGGAGTCCAGGTGGCTGGGACACTGAGGGATGAGAGAGCCTGTGGGACTGAGCCACCAGGAGGTGGTGGATTTCAGGGGAGTGATGGAGGTGAGGACAACGAGTTGGGGAGGGGAGAGAACTCTTCTAAGAACTTCAGCTGTGAAGAGGGAGAGAGAAGGAGCGGCTGGCAGAGGGGACAAGCCAGGATTGCTTTCGCCACCAGGATGAGAGAGATGGGAGCACTTTTACAGGCTGTTGTGTAGGGGACAGAGTGAGGGAGATGCTGAGAGTTACAAGCTCAAGCCAGGGGTGGACCCAGGGCAAAATTCCTGGAAGGCAGGAGAGACCGTTGGCCTAGAGCTGGGGACAGTTGGCCTTAGACAAGAGGCGAGACCCTCGGGGGCTTTGGAGGGGTGTAGCGGGGGTCCATAGATGAGGAAATCCAGATGTTCCTGCTGTTGCAGAGTGTTTTCTTGGCCCTGGGATGAGGACCCTGTGGACAGAGGGTGATTCTGGCTGTGGATTTGGGGTGACTGCCTAGAAAGGCCTGGGTGGGGAGCTGTGGCCATAAGCTGGCTGGGGGCTGAGTGTGGGGTGAGAGCCCCACCTTGCGTACCTCTGGCTGCTGGGGCTAGTAGAGTGGGCTTGGCCTGAACTATAGGATGCTGCTCCTGGGCGTGAGGCCCATCCTGTGACCCACCAAACCTCAGCCTCCAGGAAAGAGGCTAAAAATAAGGCTGTGGTGAAGAAGGGAGGGGCTGTGTGGGCCCAAGCCAGGCTGGAGCCCAGAGGAAAATCTGAGACGACCGGCTGGGCTGCTGTGACACACGCTTCCCGTGCCAGTGGCCAGCAGGATCTCACCCACTTGTGGCCATAGCCCCGTCCAGGCAAACAAACCGGAAAGGCTGAGGCAGGGCCTGACCTAGGGCCTATGGCCTGCACAAGGCCCTGCTCCCTGGAAAGGTTCTCTCTGGCCTTCTGCCTAGAGCTCAGGCCTTGGCTCCAAGGCTGAGCTCCAGGGGTTGCTGGGGTGTGGGCATCCAAAGCTTCCTGTGTCTTGGGGTCTAGACTTCGTGGGAGTTCCCAGGGGCCCTGTATGCCCATTTGACCTAGAGAAATGTTCGTCTCCCTTGCCAGGAACTCTGTGCAGTAGAGGAGGTCAGAGGAGGCTTCCTGGAGGCAGAGGCAAATGCCAGGCCTCAAAATAATGGGACGGGGAGCGTATCCAGTCAGGTGGCTAGCATGTGCCTTGGGAAGAAACAAGCGTGTTTTGATTTGCTGTGCACACAGGCCATCTTCATGGTGACCATTTTGATATGGCCTGCTTCCCAGGAAGTGAGTGTACAGTTACTGCAGATCCACACCCTCCGTTTGGCTGTGGATGGGGACCCACTGTTCAGGGGCCCAGGGGAAGTTTTACCCTCTTACCACCTCCCGACTCCACCCATCCTGAACAGTCCCTGTTCTGGGTTCTGGGGATGACTTGCCATGGCCCCGGGCCTCAAGGGGCTCAAGGGGCTAAGGCGGACCCTCTCCCATCCATCTGTGCATCCTGCCACCGAAGGTCCCTGTGGGCTGGCTACGTGCCGGGCCCTGGGCTGGGGGACAAGAGTGAACCACGCAGAAGCAGGGTAGTGGAAGAACCAGCTTTGGCTTGGGCAATAGACCTGGTTTCAGATCTTACCTCTGTGACCTTAAGTGCTGTATGACAATTTGTTTCACTTCTCAGAGCCTCGGTTTCCTTATATGGGCAGTCATAGATACCTGCATAGGTAGCAGTGGTAGAAATACCATCTGAAGAGCCTCACACGGTACCTGGAACTTAACAGGAACCCAGAACTGGTGGCTTTTCGCTCCTGCACACAGTGTGTCTAAGGAGCTCATACCCATGTCCCTGTGTATCTTCCCGGTAGAACTAAGTAATTCTAGTGTGACACATGCTAAAACAAGGAAGGATAGGGACAACTAACGTATGAAGGGTGGTGATAGGAGGAGAAATCAGGGACGACTTCCCCGAAAAGGAGGCACCTGAACTAGTCTTAAAGGAGTGGCAGGAATTAGCAGAGCCAACAAAGTAGGGTAGAGGAGGAAGCATGTACAACTGGGGGGCCCTGAGTAGTTTGGGGTTGCTGGAGTACAGGGTGGAGGGGTGCTGTCCTAAGAAGTGGATTTGGCTGGCGAGGGGGGTTGGCAGAGCTGAACCTGCATCCCTGTGGCTTGATGAAGGGTCCGGGTCCTCCCCTGAGGCACTGGGGGGCCAGCTGACGGTGACTATGCGATCGGACCCACACATCAGGAGGGGAACAGGCTTTTGCTCAGGGGTGGGAATGGACTGTGGAGTGGGAGGGGAGTGTGGGTGGTCCCCCACATCTGGCCCAATCATGCCACCCACAGGCCCCAGTGAAACTCTGGGCCTCTGTGGCCAAGTTGGGGCACTTTGAAGGTCCCACTTGATGGCCCTGCCCTCAGCCCAAGACCGGTCCCTGGCTTCTGCCTTCAAGGCAAGGCTGCAGCCCGTCTTGGTTATTAAGTCATTAACTGGGCCTCACACAGCCTCTTCATTACGGGTAATTATGGTCAATCCACTGTGTACATTAACAAGGAGGAGGCCAGCTTTTCTTGGCTGTCCAGCTGCTAGGACAGCAGCAGGGTATGACCCGCATCCCAGGAGACTGCTCAGCATCTTAGCCCTGGGTCTTAGGGGGAGGAGGGACATTCTACTTTCTCCATTTCTACACCTTCAGCCACCAGGCGGGACCCTCAGACCGTGCTTGGAGATCCTCCTTTCCCCCACTTTCTCATTGTAGGACTAAGCATGTGGCTTAACCTCCTATGCCTCGGTTTCCTCATCTTTCCAGCGGGATAATAGTACCAGCTTCATAGGATAGTGTGAGGGTTAAACTAGCAAAGCGCTTAATGCTCAGTAATTCAAACCATCATCATTTCAAATGCTGACATCATCATCATCATCATCATCATGAAGAACTCTGGGAGTCCTGTGAAGGCGGGGTTCAGTCCCTTCCTCTGTCCCCTACGTGGGGAACTCCTGAGGCAGGCCCTATCTCCTCCTGCTTTTACCCCTGTCCCCTCTCAGTGCAGATATGCAGTGGTTAGGGGGGCCTGTGGCCTGTGGCCCAGCCTCCTGCTGTCCTCAGAGATAAGCCAAGGCGAGGGCCCCTGGGCCTTCGGGCTGGGGGCTGTGCTTCCTCAGGGCCCTGGTTGAGTGCTGGGTGACAGGGGCCCAGGAGCTTGCTGGCCCCCGTGCAGCCATGGCTCTGTCTGTCCACAGGTGGGGGTGGTTTCTGGTTGTTCTGGTTGCCCCGCTCCTTGACATGCAAAGCCGTAATGGGCGAACAGAGGTGCCTGGGGTTTGGGAGAAGGGATCCTCTTCCCCCAGGAAAGGAGGCCTGGAGCCCTGTCCGCTTCCCTCTACATCTCAGCCCCTGCACGGGAAAATTGAGGGTCCTGGTTATCATCCTGAGGACAGCTGGATTGAGTGCATGCGGTGTTTGCTTGTGTGTGCGCATGTGCTTGTACTGTGAGCATTACCTGTGAGCCCCCTCAGCCCGCTCCCAGCCAGAGGGCTTCTCCAGCAGCTTTTAGTGGCTGCCCTCCTGCTCTCTGGGCTTCAGACGTGGTGGTTTTCCCTGAGGGCAGGGCCCATGTCTGTTCCTCAGGTGCCAGCACCCTGTCTAGGGCTGGATCACAGGTGGGCCAGAGGCCCAGGGTAGCAAATAGAGGGCTTGGCTGCCCCACTGAGCTGAATAACCATGAGGAGCCTGGCCTGTCTATGCCTTAGGCCCCTGCAGTGGCCGAGGGAGAATGTGGGGTCCTATCCCCAGGGTAAGCACGTAGGTCCAGTGCGGCAGGATAGAAACTTGGCCTCTAAGGTCCCCAGTGGCCTAGCTAAACTGGGCAGGGTGGAGTTGTGTAGATGGGGCCAGGCTGGGCCTTGCAAGGTGGAAAGAGGGCTGGACTGGGACTGGGGTCGCCTAGATGGGATGGGGGAGTTGGGGTGCCAGGCATCAGACGTTGCCAGTAAGTACCATCTGTCTTCCCCTCCAGGAGTCCTTCTAGACATCCAGCAGCACTTTGGGGTCAAGGACCGAGGCGCTGGCTTGCTGCAGTCAGGTGAGGCATACCACCCCCGCCAGACCTTGGCATCTTGGGCTCCCTCTACCCTGGAGGGGCATTCCCTGCTGGGTCCCTTCCAGGTCCTGACTCACTGGAAAGAGAATGGGCTTTGCATCCAAATCCCACTGTTGCCGCTCACAAAAGTAACCCCTTCTCCAGCTTCTGCTTCTCTTCTTAGAAAACAAAACAAACCATACCTGCCCTGAGGGGCTGTGAGAGATACACCAGCGTAGAGGCCAAGGGTTCAGATCCTTGGAGGTGACCCTTCCTTTGAGTCCTTGGGCCTCCTCAGGACCCAGAGATCCAGGTTCCATCTTGAGGCTGCTGAGAGCAACTGCTTAGTTCAATAACTTGGGCAATGTCAGCAGAGCCTTGTCAACACTGTTTCCATATTGTCCCCTAGCCCCATTTCCTTCCACTGCCGTCAACCTGAGAATCGTCTTTGATGTCAAAGCAGGAAACCCCTTGACCAGCCCCAGAACCACTTGTATTCCCAGACTCAGGGCAGGAGCTGAGGATCTGGGTCCTGGTCTAGTCCGGGGCCTGCGGTTCTAGACCCCATCCCCCTTGGGAACCCAGCCTCCTGACTGGCGAGGAAGCAAGGCTGGAGCCCCCCCGACACACACACACACCGGCTAGGGCAGCTTGGCAGGTCAGGAAGCAGTTTCCCGGCCTGCCTGGCCCTCCCTCCAGGGTCCATGTCTCCCTTGTCCCTGCCCTGCCCACTCCGTGGCCCCGGGGGACCTGAACTCCTGGCTCCCTGGCCCTCCCACTAGCTGTGGCCATGCTGGCCATGCCGGCCATGCCCTCGGCAGGCCCCTTAGACCTGGGCAGAGACTCAGCAAGTGCTGCACCGCAGGGCTGGTCTGACTTGGCCTCAACCTTGCTCTGTGGCTGGACCTGGTCCCCTTGGCCCTGATTCCCCTGGGTGGGAGGGGTGGAGATAACTGGCTCTGTCCAGGAACCTGCCTGACCTGTCTAGGTGGCATTCCAGGATGTACAGTGCCAGGCCTCCACGATGTGTTCGTAGAGCACAGCTGCCTGTGCTCATTTTCCGGATGGGGTCTTAGGGGCTCAGAGGGAGGGAAAGCGATGGCTCCAGGGCTTAGCCCTCATATGTGAGAGTTGACTGAGCTAGGACTTGGGCAAGGCTGTGTGGTCCAGCACCTCCTAAGGGTGGCCAGGTTCCTGCCATGCAGACATCACCTCACATCACATGCAGGATGTGAGCCCAAACCTCTCCCCTGGCCTCTATCCCCTTGCTGGACCTCTCTGGCTGGGCCAGAGTAAGTCAGCCCGTCTTGGGGTCTGGGACTAGTCCCTCCAGCCTCCTGGGCTCTGCACTGACGGTGACCAGCTCTTCTGACAGCAGGGAAGAGGGGGTTCAAGCTAGGTGGGAGCATGGGAGGAAGCTGGCTGCTGAGCGGGTGAAGGAAGCGGAGGAGAGAGCCTAGCCACCGAGCCCCCTCCCTCCGCGGCCCCTGAGTTACTGAGGACCTGCAGAGCTTTAGTCTCTCCTGGTCCCGGCCTGCTGAGTGACGTGGAGCAAGGCTCTACCTCAGCCTTTTCCATTAAACCCTCACTGAGTGAGATCAGGGAGACGGTGGGAGCGCTGTGAGGGTTGTAGCCCTGCCACAGTTCTGTCCCAGGCTGCCTTCATAGCTGAGAGAAGTCATGGCAGCCCCTTCCGATCCCTGTCTGCCGGGTTGGAGGTGGACACGTACCCCATAGGTATCCTCTTGTTTGATTCTTCCTCCTACAAGCTCCCTTTGGTCAGTTTCACTTTCCAGATGAAGGGACAGAGGTCAAGAGAGGGGAAATGATTTGCCTAAGATCTCATGGTAAGAGACCAGCAGGCCCGGAATTGGAGCTCTGTGTATGCTGTCCCCATGGCTTGGGGAGGGGGCCCAGATGGCCACTGGATTGGTGGGGCTTGTTCCAGGTGCCTGAGCGTCTGGCATCTCAGCGTGCTGAGGGGGGTGACTTTGGGCTGTGCTGTGAGTCCCGGCCCGCTCAGAGACCCCCCTAGTCCTTGCTTCCTGGCCCTCGCCCTGACACCTACCCCTGGCACAGCTGGGGTGGCTCCCCAGAGTGTCCTCACACCTTTGGCCCTCTGAGCCAAGAAACCAGGCGAGCTAGACCAGGATGTGATTCAGCGGGCACCCAGGCAAATCACCTAATTGGCCTGGGCCGCAGGCACCTGTCTCTCCCCTAAGCCCTGATAAGGTCAGAGCCAGGTGGAGGGCGCCAGCCAGGTGTTGGTGCTTGCCCAGATCAAAGGGCTGGGGCTGAGAGCCAGGTTGTCTGCTTATTTCTGGGCACCAGTGCTGCTGGGCCAAGAGACAGGGTCGGGGGTGGCTAAGGGTGAGGCCTGGGCCTGCCCCTGCTGTTTTCCCTTGGGCCCAGGGTTTGAGTGCTGGTTTGGGAAGAGCTGACTTTCTGTAGCAGCTCAGAGCTAGCCCAGGAGTTTTCTGCAGCAGCCATCCTAGCTCAGTCTCTGCGAAAACCCACAGCAGAATTATCGCTCTTTGGTCTTGCTGTTTGGGGAAATCAGGAGCCCCCATAGCCTACATCTAAAGGGCCAGCTGCGTCTGAACCTACTGTTTAGCAGGCGCTGTACTGGGCTCTGTCATAGACTCAGTCCCCGAACTCAGGAAGATTCCCTCTGTGGATGGGAACAGGAAAGGTTTCCAGTTCCCACTCAGGCACAGGGGGACTGCGGGAGCCCAGGGGCAAACTGCAGCTCTGCCTGGTGGCAGGTGAAGACTTCCCCAAGGGGGGGGACAGACATTTGAATGGGGTTTTGAAGAATGCATTCGAGTTTATTCAGGGGAAAGGGCTTCCAGTCAGTTCATCAGAAAGAGTAAATGTGGGAAGCCCTCCTTCTCCCTCCACACTGGATAAGATATGCCAAGAAGCATTTAAGCTACGTAGCTGAGCTTGAAAGCTAAAGCCAGGGAAATTTCCAGGTGCCAGATGCAAAGACGAATTCAAAAACAGGGGTGGGAGCTGGTATTGAAGTCAAGCGAGGCAGAGTGTTTGGGGAGCAGTGTATGTCTTAGAAGCTTGTTGTAGTATTTTTAATATAAACATTTTTTTTAGGATGAAAAAAATTTAAATATCCATATAAAGTAGAGAGAATAATACAGTGAACCCCCATATAGCCATCACCCAGATTCATCCAAGTATCACCAGTCTGGCCCAGTTTCCAGGCTTGGGGATTTCTTTGTTCTGAGGATTGGGTAGTGCAGGAGTGCTAGTGTTGCACGGGGGTGACTTGGTTTCCACTCAGAGCCCAGGGCAAGCTCCCTGGTTTCAAGCTGTGGCCCCAGCCAGTGGGCAGTTTTTCCACCTGTGACAGGAGAGCTCCTTCCTGGTCCCTGCTTTATGCAGAGAGCCTTGTCCAGCCCCTGCTTTGTACAGGTCTGAGATTTCCACTCCTTTCTCCTATGTAACCCTTATATTTCCTGAGACCCCAGCAAAGGCAAACCCAGAATTCTTTAGGGAAGCCTGCACGGGACACAGATGACAATTCCCACTGAACACAAACTCAAATCCAACATGAATAGAGCACACAAGGAAACCCACCTTTGTGGGAGGGGTCAGTCTGCCCAGAAAATGGGAAGACCAACTCCTGAAGAACAATAGGACTCCTGAAGAGACTTTACATTAGGTATATTTATCTTCTCAAAGCTCTCCAGGACAGAGTAGAATTTATAAGACAGGAACAGCACCTTATTGTCAAAGAACAGGGAGATGTTTAAAAGACCTAACTTTAAAACTTTGCTAGTGAAATATATAAGTATTAAAATTAAAAAGTGTAATAATTAGAGGCGTTAACAAGTAGACTAGACCCAGGTGAAGAGAAAATAAGCAAGTTAGAGGATGGCGCTGAGGAAATCAGCATCCATATAGCTCAGGGGCAGGGGGCGTGAGAGTGGAGGTTGTGATGCTGCCTGGGTCTGGTGACTTGCAGTTCATCAGCCACGGGCTGAAGTGAGGGGAGAAGGGAAGGAGAGGAAGGGAAGGCTGGGCCACACGCAGGGTCTGATTGTGAAAGGCATCTGGATTTTGTCTTGCGGCAGTGGGGAGCTAGAGGAAGTTTCAGAGCAGGACAGGTTCCTGTGAGCTGTGTGCGTCAGGTTATTTATTCTGAGGCCCAGCGTGGAAATGGATGACAGAGGAGGCTGGAAGGCAGTTCAGGGCTGGGGTTCATGGGCTCATGAGGAAGTACCAGGATGGGGAGTGAGGCACAGGGGAGAGGCGGGACAAAGGAAGAGCCAGCTCAGACTGAAACCAGACAGCGCCTCTGCGTTGGGGCTGAGCCCCCTTCTGGCCTTGCTCCCGTCCCCACTTCGGCCGGCTGAGTGACAGCCTCCGCTTTGGTTCTGAAGGCAAAGCTGGGCCGTCCCTGTGGCTATTCCTCTGGGGCCTTCCTGAGGCCTGAGGGGCCTACCCAGGGCTTATATTCTGAGCAGACTATGAAGGAGGAGTGGTTTCTGCAGGAAGCCGGGGGGTGGTGGCTTTCAGGCGCTGATGGGGCCAGGCTCTCCTGGGTCGTCCCCATCATCTTGGCTGGCCTGGGCCGCCATCTTCGACCTCCTGTGGACAGCGAGGGTACTCAGGCAGAACCTGACCCCCCGCCTACCTCATGCCTGCCCAAGTACTCTTCCTGCCCACAGGATGTGGGAGAGTGGCGGATCTTTTCCAAATAACAGTTCGGCCAGATCTGGACTTTGTAAAAATAGTCCTGGTTCAGCCCAGGCGAGGTGGGGGCTGGACGTGGGCTCCGAGGCCACCGTGTGGGAGCCCAGGGTTCCCCCAGCTCAGACGTCATCCACTCCTGCTCCAGGACCACCTTCTGGGGTCAAACAGGGCCACATGTGCACTGAGGGTGGCATAGCCGCCCCAGAGCAAGGATAATGGGGCTGCCTGCCAGGGTACAGAGTGCTCAGCGGGGGCTATTCTGAGCTGGGTGCTGGCCCTGCTGTGGGCCCATGGTGGGAAGGCCTTCAGCCAACACCCTGAGCCCTTGGACTGCCATGGGAGGTGGACAGCCCTTACGGATGTTGTCCAAGTCCTGTCTTACTGGTGACTCTCCCCAGTCCTAGGAGGAGGGGGCATGGCCCATCTCACAGAGGAGGTTCTCAGCCCAGGTTCCCATGGTGAGCCAAGGGCCCTGACTCCTCCCACCCTGCCATCCAAGCCCTGCCCTGCCCCCTGCCCTGCCCCCACCCTGGCTCCCTGCCTGCTGCTCCATTGTCCCAGACCTGTGGGCTCAGCACACATGAGCTGAGCGAGGGCTTCCCCACACCCCTGGCCACAGGATGTCCTCATGTACGAGCTGCTGGGAAAACCACCCCTACCGAGATCAGGGGTGGGGCAGCCAGGCTGCCCAGAAAGCTCTCCTCAAACAAAGACTATGGCCTTGGGGTGGGGGTGGGGGTGCGGGGGTTGTCCAGTGAAGCTTCTAGCCCAGCTGGTCTTTATTTTCAGCAGAGCTGACTGCTGGCTAGATTGACCCCTGCGCACTGATCTGGGACAGATTCACACATCCCAGCCTTTGCCTGTACTGTTCCTTCTGCCAGCAAATTTTCCCTCCTGTCCCTACCCTGACTGTGTTCAGGCCCCTCCACTGGCCTGTGACATCCCTGAGGGTCAAGGGAGGTCCTCTCTCTTGTCTGTCCCTAGCAGAGCACAGGGGAGGGCTGCAAAGATGGATCGAGTCTCTCTTCTGACCCTGGACTCCCTTGTCCCCAACGGGACGGCACCGAGGGTCCAGGGGTCCAGGGTCAGGAGGCTCACTGTATCATCTTGGGTAAGTTCTTCCATCTATCAGTGGCCTCAGCCGTAAAACGGGACAGACATGGTGAAGCTCAGGGTGGTGCCTGGTGACCTTCAGCAGGCTGGGACTAGGGGTGGGGACCAGGTGTGCCTGCTCCAGCAGGAGTCCACCTGTAGTCCAGGGTGCCTCTGCCCACCCAGATGAGCAAGCAGAGAGCTAGGACTGAGAGACCCAGGAGCTGCCTTCTTGCTCTGCTGCAGGCTGATGGGTGGGGATGGGCCAGGATTAGCCCCTCTCCACCCACCCAGCGGGGCTTTTCCAGTGCTCCCCCTTGAAGGAGGAGAACAGAGCATGCTGTGGGGCTCCACTGCCCTCGAAATGCCAAACCTGCTCCTAGTGTTTAGGGCCCAACTTCCCTCCACAGCCTCATCTCCCGCCGCTTTCCTCATAGCTGCCGTCTGACCTGCTTGCTTGCCGTCCCCAACACACCCTGAACTTTCTCTGACCTTGGGAACATCAGCTGGGACCTTCCCCCTCCCCAGCCCGGCAGTCTCTAGGGTGATTTAGAGCAAGGACTCTGGAGTTAGACAGATTGGGGTTTAAATTCTGGCTCAGCCACACACTCCTCTCAGCCTCTATTGTCCCTTCTGTAAGATGAAGATAATCGTGAGACTCAAATGAGATCACCTGTGCTCATTAAGTCCCGGGCACATCCTTGGGCATTGCCTATAATAAGCATTCCATAAATGAAACCTGAGGTTATTATTACCAATAAGCATATGACCGTTATATGGTATTGCTTATAAGATTTGTAATTGATATTTTAGTATGTATTCTTTAAAAAAAATTTTTTTTTTAATTTTATTAAAAAATTTTTTTTTCAAGTAGTTGTTCCAATCTAGTTGTGGAGGGCACAGCTCAGTGGCCCATGCGGGGATTGAAGCGGCAACCTTGGTGTTATGAGCACTGTGCTCTAACCAATGGAGCTCACCGGCCACCCCTTAGTATATATTCTTGATTTTAAGTATTATCATCATGGTAAACCCCTGTGTATCCTTCAATGCCCCAGCCCTGACATCACTGTCTCATGAAACTTCCCTTCACTGTCCTGGCAGGAGCTGGCCCTCCTTGCTGGTTCCCTGGCATTCTAGCCCTTTCATCTGGAAACCCAAGGATGGGGTCTGCCTCCTAACTAGACAGGGGCAACTCCTACTCTGATATTTTTTCCCCCACTCCCCACCTGGCACAGACAGGCAAAGAGGGAATAATTCTCCCTCCTCACCTGAATGTGTGTGAGTCCTAAAGAGACCCCAACATCTCGTTTCTGTTCATAGTATCCTGGTCTGATCTCAGGTAGGTCCTGGGAGGCAGGCCCAACAGGAAAAATCCTTTTTCTAGGTAAGAGGAAATAGTTTCGGTCTTGATGAATCTAAACAAGGGCTCCGTGTTGACTGAGGCTGACCACTCTGGGCCGGGTGTGGCATTAAGCACCTTACTAGCGTTATTTCGTCCAGTGCTAAGAGCAACTGGAGAGCTGCTATTTTTATCTCCATTCTCCAGATGAGGAAGTTTGCATGCTGGAGCTGGCTTAGACCTGCTCGTGAGAGCCTATTGTTAGATTTTCAGGAATTGTATGAGCTGGTTGTTAAACGCAACCATTATTAAAAACTACATTATGTAAACTTACCATTAAACAACTTATAGTAAAAAAAAAAGGGGGAATAAATACAATGCATCACTTCCAAATTATGTTTCTACATTTTTACTATTATCTATGTTCTTAAGGCTATGTACATCTATTATATTTGGTAGAAATACTGTATATACAATGCTGGGTGGAGTAGCAACATCACGCTGGTAGCTTGAAATCAGCTATGGAAGGAATATTTACACCACAAAAATAGGCAAACACTACATCAGGAAAGCCAGCTGTTAAACATTTATCAGCACACCACTAAGTGAAGCACAGAGAGCCTGGGACCTGGTCAAGGTCACCCAGCGGGGAAGGGACTGAGCTGAATTTGAACCCAGGCAGTGTGTCTCTGGTGCCCAAATGTGTGCACCTCTCTGCTGACTCTGCCCGAGGTCCCAGTCACACAGAGCTGGGATTAACAGGTAACTGCGCCCCGCACCCCCCCCACCCCCATACCTGTCTGCACTCACTGCTCTCTCACTAGGATAAGAGCGAGGCAGTCACTCTCCTCCATCACAGCCCTCTTTTCCCTTGTTCACCTCTTTCCCGCCTTCCTCCCCTCCCTCTTTCTCTTCTTCTTCCTCCCCTGGGGACTCAGGTCTGTGAGGGAGCAGCTGAGTTCATGTGTACATTCAGCCTGGCGGTCAGAGGCCAGTCACTGGCCACTTTGCCCACCCCCAGCCTTTGTCTGGCCATCTGCCCATCAGCTGTGGAACTGCCTTCCAGAGGGAAGTGTGGAGGGGCTGTCTCGCCTGGGACCCAGGGCCTATCCTGGCTTGCTGGCCTCTTCATCCCACCTGGGACCTCCACAGCCCCTCCCCTCACTGGCAGTGGCATCCCCACGGAGTCCTCTAAGACTCTGCATTCTCTTATTCTGAAAGAACAAAACCAGGTCATATCACTCCTCTGCTCAGCGTCCTCCAGTGTTTTCCCTTCTCATCACAGAAGCCACAGGCATCACGGTGGGCCACAGGGCCCGACCCTATCTGGCCTTTCTCTTTCCACTCCTTTATTCCAGCCACTCTGGCCTCTTTACTGCTCCTCAAATATGCTAAGCACACTCCTGCCCCAAGACCTTTGTACTTGCTCTTCTTGCCCCAATATGTGCACGATTTGTTTCCTCACCTCCTCCAGGTCTTTGCTGAAATGTCACCTTCCCTGACCCTTCTATTTCAAATGGTAACATTTGCTTTGCACATTTCCTATCTTCTGTTTCTGCCTTTTACCCTTCTTTGCACTTGTTACCATCTGACATACTATATATATTTTTATTTTATTGCCTGTTTCTCCTCACTAGAATGAAAGCCTCCAAGAGGACAGACATTTTTGTCTGTTTTGTTGAGTGGATGAATGGATGGATGGATGGATGGATGGATGAATGAACAAACAAATGAATGACAATGTTTCCAAATGTAAGGAAAGCCTCTGCAGCCTGCTGGGAGTGAGGGTGGCTGTGTGATCTGTCAGGTCTGAGACCTGGGGTTCCAGGCCCAGTTCTGTCCTGATTTGCTGTGTAACCTTGGGGAGCTCCCTTCTCTCTAAGCCTCTTTCCCAAGTCTAAGGATAGCAGTGTGGCCAAGTATGAGGAACACTGGCTCTGGAGTCAGACAGATGGGGTCAAATCCTCACTGGGATGTTTACCGCTCATGAGGCCTTGGTCAAGTCACTTCTGCTCCCCGAGCTTGTCTCCTCATCTGCGAGGTGGAATGGGTTGGAAGGATACATATACAGGAGGCTTTGTGGTGAGTGCTAGCACAGCTCCTGGCATGTAATAACTGTTCAGTGAGTAAGTCTTTACTGTTTTAAAAGTACCCAAAGGGCTCACTTGCAACTGGACAAACTGTGGGCCTGCGCTGAAGAAGATGGTGTCACCCTAATTCAGAGCGCCTTTCCTGTCTCCCCTGGGCCCAGGACTGGCCGAGGTCACCCTCTCTGGGGCTGCTTCCTCAGTGCCTGGCCCGGGCTGAGCTTTGTCTCCTGGGCACTTGGCCTCAAGCTGGGGTGGTCTGGGCAGGTGGGCTCAGCCACAGGGACCCTGACCTGCCCCTTAAGCTCTCTTCTCCTTGCACAGTGTTTATCTGCAGCTTCATGGTGGCTGCCCCCATCTTTGGCTACCTGGGCGACCGCTTCAACAGGAAGGTGATCCTCAGCTGCGGCATTTTCTTCTGGTCGGCAGTCACCTTCTCCAGCTCCTTCATTCCCCAGCAGGTGAGGCCTGTCCCAACTTCCTGCCCAGTAACCCTGCGCATCTGTCTGTTCCTCCAGTGGGCAGCCAGTCTGGCCTGTCCTAGTTTAGACTGGGGGTTCCACCCCCTTTGCTTGTTCCAGCCCCAGACAGGATCTTCCAAATGCAGTGGGATGAGGGTGTCTTTGGGTACTTTTATCAACTGGCCCTGCAAACAGGGACTCGCAGCCCAGTGTGGCATCCTGACTGTTTCTGAGCTGTCTCTGATTTGGGGAGGATGCAAGGAACGGGGGAACTAGCCTGGCCTAGGAGTCAGACCCTTTTGGTTCTAGTCCTGGCTCTGCCATCATCTTGCTGTGGGATCCCAGGTGAGTCACTACCCCTCTCTGGGCCTTCCACAGTTTGCTCTTTGTTCAATGACCAGTTAACTCCTTGGGTCAAAGTCCTAGGGGGGGGGCAAACATCACTTCAACATAAGGACGATATTTCTTACTTGGCTCCCACAGTTCTGGGTTTGAATATCCCAACTCTGTTGCCCACTCAGCCTTGTAATCTGGAGAAATTTGCTTAACCTCTCTGAGCCTCAGTTTCTTCATCCTTGAAACGGGGATAACACTTCTCCACTTGAAGGTTTATTGTGAGAAATAATTGAGGTAATAATAACTGGAACATGTCAAGTGTTCAACAAATCATTATTTCTATTCTTTCTTCCAAAAAGGAGATACGTTGTTT